CCCCCTCCCAGCAAACACACACACACTTCAAAGGAAGATTGCAGCCTGACAGGCCGGCAACACTAAGAACCCACATACAGCTTTTTTTCTATTTCTTCTTCACGGAAACCCACCTGTTTCTTACAAACTTTCAAGTCATACCCCTCTCTCTCTTGGCTGGTTTTCTCTCTCTCTCTCTCTCCCTGTCTGACACTCTCGTTCAGTGTATGTATGCTGGTACTCAAGCACTGTCTTTCTGATGTTCTCTTCCTCTCATCCTACACTGTACACCCCTATCAGAGGATTATATACACATTGAACCATGTCTTAACTAGACACAATGTAACCATGCTCTGGCCTGTACCACTGGGCAGATGTGAACCGCAGTGTTCCGTAATCTTATCTGAAACATGTTGCAGAGCCAATGAGCCTGTATGCTGGCACCAACCTTTATATAGCAATATCTGCTTGATGTGAAACGCAGCTGGAGAAATAAAACAATTTCAAGACGAATATGACAGAACTGGTGCTTCTTCGGTGTCAGTCCAACATAGGCCAGATGCTGAAGGGGAAAAATTGACAGGCAGCACTGAGTTCTGCTTCAGTTCTGCGCAAGGTGAGCCAGGCTTTATTGAGCCTTTTCATTCCCGTCCCCAGTACACAGGGGCCATTGGGGGCCACAGATGGGGGTCCAAGCATTGTACTTCACTCACACAACTCTATGCAGCCTGTTAGCGCACTTAGCCTGTATGAAGTAGAGCAAAGGTTACTACACATTACATGGGGGATAAATCCCTAAATCACACGTGATCCCCAAGTAATTCTAGTCCCGTGCGAAGAGGGCTTAAGGTGTGCCAAAGTAATTAAAAGATTGACAAGTAACTGAATTATGCTTACTCCAGTTTCACTCCATTTCTCTACAATCTTCAACTAATCATAACCCACTTGAATTATAATGTGAATCCGATACTCATTATTATTTCTTTTTTTCCACATCATATCATAATTGTGGAACAACAAAGTGCTTTTTGTGCCTAACCCTAACCAATCCATGCACAATCTTAACTGCGTATTTATTATTGTTACCATGGCAACACACGTCTGGTACACCTGCCGCTGGTAGGCTCACATACGTTGTATCCAAGGATAGGGACAAGCAACCTATATGATCTTTCAGGTTGGTGGACTTGTAGCTAATTATTGTTCCATGCTCCATGACCTTGCTTAAAAAAAAGGAACTTGGCTACATGCTTAATATAATGCTAAGAGAAACAAAGCTATCAGTTGCCAGCATCCTCACCAATTAATGATTTATGCAGAATGGAACATGGAAATAAAGGGACAACTTTGCTTTGTACTTCATAGAGCTAGTCAGCCATTACATACAGCAAAGTATGATAAGGGAACATTTCACTTATTTTGCGCTATTTAGATACTTTATATTTTTTAAAGAGAGCTAACCGATGTGTTTGGCAAACATTTCTGCATAACAGCTGGACTCAGGTTGTCAACCTACCCAAATTAGGGCAAATTAGAGCCGCTAACATTGCACTGAACTCTGAAAGCTTTCATAACCAGCTGCTACACAGTGATTAAATACTACACTGTGATGTCCCAGTCCTGAACAGGGTTTTTCTAACATAACTTGTAACCCCACAAAATAATGTAGTTAGCTAATAATATGTGTTACTACTGTAAGTAATAAGCCACTTAGCTGGACAAACTAACATTTGCAGCTTATGTTTCAGCAGACAAACATTCAATTTGATCCATTTCTTGAATATTCTCTTTCGTGTTAATTGGTTTTGGAAAGGAGTCACCCTCTGAACTCTGAACCTTTGGTTAAAGTTAAGAAAATATTGTGGTTTTGGTTCAATGAGCTATTTGTAAGTTTTGCTTTTGCTACATAGCCGACTTTAGCATTAACAGCTGTTTACTTAAGAATAATCTATATAAAGAAGGACGCCAAAATGGATGAGAGGACCTTAAAGTGCTCAGAAAAATAGAAAATTTAACATTTATAATTCCACAACTGGAAAAACCCCATCGCCTGAGGTAGATTGTGTGATCAAAAGCTGCAGAACAACTGCTAAGTGGACCTTTGGGTGAAATTGTTTCCAAGATAAAGAATGGACTCAACATACCCCAATGCTTGAACCTTAAAAAATATCCCGTTAACAATACCTTCAGTTGTACTTTCTGTCTGCAAAACAACTATCCCACGCCTTTGTCTTTCTCATAGTCCTCCTTCGCTGTCTTGCTAGATCATTTTCTAACTCTAGCACTACTTTTTCTGTTTCCTATGCTTTATTTCGCTCTCTCTCACTCACCTATACCACAGTGACATCTGCCCAATTCAGTCTCAGGTGTCATAAGAACAAGGGATGACTCACCTAAGCCAGGCAGACGAAGGGCGAGATAAAGGGATGATGAACGGGAGGATGAAAGAGTGCAGCAGATCACTCGTCCTGCCAGTCACTTGTCTAATTGCAGTGTCTGTCAGAGGAAGCGCGTGCTGTCTCTTCACATAGATGACTTCATGTTATTTTTCTCCTCCTTCCCCATTACTCTGTCTATATCTGTTAGTTCAGCCATACTATTAACCATTTCCATATTAACAATGGAAACGGCTCACAAGCACAATTTGGAAATACAAAAATGCATGAAACTGGAAAAAATTTAGGAAAAACAAGGCTTTTATTGTTAGCTAAGAGAGTAACACAGTCACATGTGTCTTTCACTAAAAGACTGTAAATAATGTAGAGGAATGGTTTGACTTTTAAGTTTGAAAAGATTTGATGGAAATCAAAGTAAATTTTAATGTCATATATGTAAAACATGGAGGAGTCTGTAGTATCCATAAGGTAGTCCAGCTTCAGAGGTGTGTAACTGGAACTGAGCCTGGACTCAGAAATTGAAAATAAACTTTACCATAAGGATCAGTTCATGGTATCACAAAGAAAGGTCCTTTAAGGTGTCAGTGCTGGTGTAACGGGAGACAAAGCAAAGCATGCAACCTGGGTCTCTATTTTTATTGGATATAATTTGAACTTTAACAAGGTAGTCATACTGGTGGCCCACAGTCCTTTTCACCAACAGCTACTTGCATAAGTAAATTTAGGACTGAGGCATGTGTTAACAGATTTGGATAGACATGGACCCATTCTTTATTATTTGTTTGATTAGACAAGGATGTTCTCTTTTTAACATTTACACACAGTTGCTCTCAGACATCACTGTTCTTGCAGTATAGAGAAACCCAACAGCTTGTTTGTGTTAGTTGTCTAATATTTCATGGTGTTGCTGCATGTTGCCCTCTGCAGCTGCAAGAGCAAAAGAAGAGTAGTAGGATGCATATGGTTGTATAAGGGTGTGTTGCTCTTGTGGAGGTCATGCATGCTGCTTTATGTGAATTGGCAACTGCAAATCTTAGATGTGGAAAGTCTGCAATGCACATCATGGGAATTATGCCATTTTTTTTGGTAAATAGTGTTTTTGACACTTGAATAATAGTCATCATATCACTGTCTCTGCTGCAATGACTTGAAGCGTTCTTTTTTTAATCAGCCTCTTACAAATTCCCCAACTTTACTGAAGTGCAATACAAAATCTCCAAAGTGTAAATTGAAGACATTAACTCTTTTGGACACTGGCATTAAGGTTAGGGACTTAAGCTCCACATAAATGATGAAGTAATGAACAATTTGATCTGTGTTTGTTAACAAGCAGATCTCATCAGTCAAATCAGTACAGATACAGATAACAGGTCTCGTGGCAGTAAAATGAAACTTTGCTGTTTTTAACTGTGAAGAGAGTTTTTTCATCAATGATCTATGTGACTCATTTTCAGCTAAACTTATCATTTTACAGTTTCCAGTTGTAAACACAGTTGGTCAGATGGGCAGAATTCAAAATAATAGTATATGCTGTGATGATGCAAAAAACAAAAAAAAAAAGAAAAGAAAACAAGAATAACCTCTCATGGCTTGTTCTGGATATTTTTATTTTATTTTATCTCATACCTGCAAAAATATATTCTCAAAATAAATAAATATATGAAATAAATATACTGTATGTCCTAGGTAACAAAACCTCATAAATAAGAATAAAATCTGTCAACATGTTTGTAAAGGTGTCTTTGTCGGTTCCGTGCAGTCAGTGGGAGAACAACAGAATTCCTTCACTGGGTTCTAGACTGAGTCTCTAGAGTTCCACCAGAACGCACAGTGTTCCGCCACGGGACACCACAGAGGAAGTCCATATAAAACGCCTCTGGGCCTGTTCTTCTCTTATTCCTCATACACATTTTCTGAGCAGCTTCAGTCTTTGGGACAGTTTCAAAGAGAATTCATCCATGTCATCACAACAGTCAGCCCGATACACACCCATTTCCCAGAACAAACACGGCTGCTTTCCAGTGCATGAAACTACCTTTTAGTGTAAACCAGCCACTCTGTATACTGGATTATGCATTTCAATAAATCGTTTACATAGCAGCCACAGTAGTGTTTAGAATGAAATAAAAAGCCCTACTGAAAACAGTGAAAATGACAAGACTCAACAGCCACAGCAGTAAAAAGCTATAAAGCAGCCAGGTGTTAATTTCAACTATGAGTTTCACACTTTTGTCCTCTTGAACATGCAGATTGGACAAGCAGGTAGTTGGATTCCATTAGTGGAAACTCAAAAGAAATCCATAGAACATCTGCTTGGCCACCAGGGCCTCTGCATAGGCCAATAGAAAGGTCAAAGTAGCCTCTGTGTCTGTCAAGGGGCCTTCACATCTTCCACAGAAGATCCTTGATGCTCTGTCAAACTCCACGGGCAGTCTGGTTTAAAGAAGGTCTGGTCCCTTCCTCCATTCCAGCGATGGGGAGTGTTGATTTGGTGCACTTTTTATGATCCTGTTTTGTCTAGATCAACAAGATCTCCCATCTTCCTCAAGAAGAAGATTAGGTGCACTGGGTTTGCTTTTCAGCTCAGACCAGCTCTGACAGGGTCAAAGTAACACCCCATCAGTCTCAGCTCTGGCCCAGTATGTCCCTGTACAGCTCCGGTACTCTATCCGGGTCTACAGGCCTCGGTAAAAAGTGAGTGAACCTCTGATGCCGCCTTGACCTCGTTCCATCCCGGGACGTCCCATCTTTGTTCAGAGCAACAAAGTAAAATGTACCTTTTTCTCCGTGCCGGTAGATGTTGGAGGAGTAGGTGTTGTACCAGTTTTCTTCAAATTGCTCCCTGAAAACACATTCTGCTGACAGTTTCTCCTGCAGAAAGAAAGAAGAGCAGAGAAAGAGAAAATATGAATTTTATGGTGCAAAATGTGCCACCTGCTGGCAATGGATTACACATCAGATATGTGAAGAGCTGGTACATACTATATTTTGAAATACACATCACTGTGCAAGTGTATATGAATTTAGGGTGCGTTCAATAGCGTGTGTACTCACCGATCCGTACAGTTCTCCCTTGCTGTTCATGGCGAGGTAGAGGCCACTGTCCACCCCTCTGATACTGACCAGTCCCACAGCTAGACTGATGAACTCCAGAATACCTGCACACACATTACATTACATTACATTACATTACATTCATTTGGCAGATGCTTTTGTCCAAAGTAATTTTTGGTAAGTAATTTCAACGTCATTAACACAAACAGCACCTTCTAAGCACTGGACACAGTATAGCACAGGTTTGTTTCACAGCTACTTGCACAATGTCCTACAATATTGTGTATTTGTAAAATAAGAAGGTTGATGGTGAGACTAAAATGTACCAGCACTCAGTGCAAAAACACACACCAATACACGCAAGCTGACTCTGACAAGCTAGGCTGGGTGTCTGGAATGGCCTCTGGCAAGTTACATCCAAGTCTCAGATGGAATAAATCAAGTGCCAGAAGTGCTTAAGCCTTGCAGCAACTAAAAGAGCTCTCTGAGAGGTATACTCTTGATCTGCAGGTGTTTATGCTGATACCTGAAGATAAGCTGGTGAAAGTAAAGAAAAGCTTCAAATCTAATCTCAAAGAGGAAATGTGGTATGAATGTGCAAACATAAAATATTCCAACTATTATCCCATCTGGAAAGCTTATTTATTTGGAAAGAAATTATGTTTCACTGGGTGCATTATAACATTTACTAGTAGCACCACTGACTACAGCTTAGCACCAGCTGCCATCACAGTATATCGAAATGATTGTAGTGACTTGTGTGGCTGTAGTAGCATAGATATATTTCATGGTTATATAAAGTGGGTGCTCCAGTAGGTGGTACAGCTGTGTCCCCCTATACAGTGAGTTGGTTAGTTATTTGCCATTTAAATCTAATTTTAGTCCAGGTTTTGATGTGTAAAGAGTAAAGAGCATTGAGAATAAAAGCATTACAGTACATTTAGTCTGTGTGTGTGTGTGTGTGTGTGTGTGTGTGTGTGAAAGTGTTAATGCCTCACCATAAGGATACCTGTCAACAGCCTATCTTACATATCTTACAAAAGAGCCAATATCCTATATTTCACAACAACAATAATAATATTAATAATGACAATAATAGCTTCAGTTGTTAAAGGGTCTGTACCGAATCTGCTGTGGTCCTTCCTCGTGCCCTGCACCGTGCCATCGGGACGGATCTCCAGGTGGAAGCCGGTCCTGCAGTAGAGCTGCCGCCGCCTCAGAATCCCCTTCAGATGGCTGAGGTCCGCCAGGCTCCGGGACAGTCTTTCCGCGGACACTATGTGTTCCTGCTGCTGCCCCTGTCCCCCCATCATCAGTCCGGTTACCGAGTTGTAGTCCACCGCCCCGGCTGGGGTGAGAACGAAATGAGAGCCAACGGGAGCCGGAGCGGCACCCGCGGGACCAAAGCTGTCCAGAAATCCGTTGCCGAAGCTCCCAACCTCGGCTGCTGCCCCCATCACAGATAAGGACACCCGATCCGGTTTGCAGTAATACAGGAGATCCGAGTCGAGATCCGAGTGATGTGCAGAGAGCCTCGGTACGACCCAGTGAGCCGGGGTCAGCGGAGAAAAAGAAAAGTTGGACGTGCAGGCGGAGAAAATCCCCAATGAGTGCGCGTTTTGGCGCAGTCACCAGCACCGCTGATTAGACTGTCATCTAATTGAGATTAAACTCCCGCGTTATCGTGATGTATGCAGGTGTCCCCGGTTGCAGCTGCCCGTGTCCCGTCTCCTCCTCTCCTCTGCTATTTATCTCTCTCTCCTGTCCTCTGTACGCTCCCTCTCTCTCCTCATCACCTCGGGATACTCCCCTTTACTCTGGTGCACATCAGGGTTTTCTCTCTCTCTCTCTCTCTCTCTCTCTCTCTCTCTCTCTCTCGCTCTCCCTCTCCCTCTCTCTCCTCGTAACCTCCTTAATTCACTTTAGCCTTGTATTTCTGCGGTACCCTCTGCTGCCTCAGCTCCTCCAACAGCAGGATGTAAGAGAGACCAGGACACTGCGCTCCGCATCCAGCCTATATAAAGCACAACTCCGTAAAGAAAATCACCCTAAGTTGCCTCTTTATGCAAATGCACCCCGATCTCCTCCCTTTATGGCTCATTTCGGTTTCCCGTTTGAAACAGAGCCCCTTCATCCCTGAGCTCGTCGTTCCCCTGCCTCACCTTTGATGTTCAGTTTCAGTGCCGAGAGCGCAGGGACTCTGAGAGGAAATTAAAAACTACTAATAAAAATTGGCCTGACAGGCTTATTTTCCCTGCTGCCCTCCAGCTACACGACTGCTTCCCTGAAGCTCATAGAGACTCTATGTCACATTGCTCATAGGCACTTCAGCAGTGCGTATATACCTGCCAGTTTAAACTGTGTGAGTGTGTGTGAGAGTCGCAGTGGAGTGCGCAACTCCGCAACAACTTGTGTGTGACACATAGACAAGGAGAGTGTGTGTGTGTGTGTGTGTGTGTGTGTGTGTGTGTGTGTGTGTGTGTGTGTGTGTGTGTGTGTGTGTGTGTGTCAAACACCATGAAAGTGATATTGCTATTAGCCTAAACGCTTTACAGCCCCACGCCCCCCTTGTCGAAATGACTCAGGTGCGGCGGGAGAGAGAGGAAAGCCCCCATTTGCGTAATTTTCGCACTCCAATGTTGATTTATTGCCCCTGTTTTATATAACCCAGCCGCACGTTCACAGCACCCGCACAGATATAAACACACACACACACACACACACACACACACAGTCGCACCGCACGCCCCCACACACACCTGTGCAAACGACATCACTTGACTGTCAATCCCTTCATTGATCTTTCCACGATGCTTTGAACAGCACGGGAGCCCGTATATCCTTAATTGTGGTCTTAAAAGACGAATCAAAGACCTACAGAGGCTTCAAAGTGCGGGGATCTTGTAAGGGGATCAGGCAATAATAACCAGAAGAAGGGAATATACCTGTTTGAACTGCGATCTTAGAAAATACCCCGACACTTGACACTTGAAGGACTTCAGAAAAAAGAACAGTGGCTGTTCATTCGTTGTGTAAATAAACGGGGGTCGTTAAGCATTTACATCTTTTCATTGATCATAACTTTGAACATATTCCACTGACCATTGTCCGATTTCAAACGCTGAGCAACATCTGTCCACGATGTATATGGTCACTAACTGCAGTCTGTAATCTAGGCAAGAAAACGCATTTGATCTCATTGCAGAGATAAAGATTTTAAATGAAAATTTTGGCAGGGAAGGAGATTAGCTACATTTGTGAATCTTTACATCAAGTATTTCGTATAAACTGTTGTAAAATATGAAGATAAGACATTAAATTGACGATACTGATGGTCATTGGGCCTATGGTCACCCACTCAAAAGCTTGTCCAGCTTTTTAGTCAACCGTGGATTGCCAGCTAGTAATGAACCCAGAAGACGCCCCTCCAAATATGAGGGGTTGACTTAATGAGATATTTAACTTACCACTTTTTTATACATTCGGGTCTGAGTTGCATGGCCATGGGGTCAAACCGCAGCTTACATGGCTGATTTGGACTGGTTTGGTCCAGGGGCGAAGGGGCTCATGATTCCAGCCTATATGGCATTGATTTTGGCAGCTATAGGCTACAGGCTCGCGCGCACAAACGCACGCGCACACACAGCTGCCCCCTCCCTTGGGAGTCGCGTTGATAAATGAGTTGAAGGTGCAGAGGTGTTTGTGTGGTCGCTATACGAACGCCTAATGTTGATTTCTGCAGCATGACAGAAAGACAGCGTTCTTGTCTGTTTCATTTTCTGTTGAAGCCTATAAAAGAGACTTGTTATGTCGTGGGTGTTCACCGGTTGTGTGTCTGTGTGTGTGAGACAGACAGACTGAGAGGTACGTGAGTGGCGTGCGTCCTTCTCCCTCTTTCCCTCGGTTCATTAGTATTCATGGCCAGCAAAAAAGAGGAAGTTTTTTTTTTTTTTTTTTTTTTTTTTTTTTTAAAGGAGACAGGATCGATCGTAATGACCTGCGGGCTGATCAGATCCTGATGTATTGGATATCGACCTGGCCACAATGAAGACGTCAACGACAACGCCACATTTCCACTCTATAAGGAGCAAGTGAACATTTCCCAGGGTCACATGGTTTGCTTTAAAATACATTTTCTATGGGTTTACTGCCCTGATTGTGGCATGGGGCAGTAGAGTGAAGCCAAGCATGTAGCCACCACAGAAGCCATAGAGGAGGGAAATGAGGAGGAGGAGGAGGCCCCCAGGGTTACACCCCCACCCCACCCCACCCTGCACCCACCCACACACACACATATAACACACACAAAGAAATTACAACCTAATCGAATGCCTGGATAATGGAATAACTGAATAAGTAGCCTAGAGGTTATTAATGCAAGTGGTTTCCAAACCAAGGTCTGGGGAACTCCTGGGGTCTTTGAAAGCAGGGTTCAGAAGGGCCATATCAAAATATAGGCATGTTTAATTTAATCATAATTTAAACTGCCAGTTAGAAAATGAATAAGTGCCCACTTTTAGCTGCTTAGCCTTTTGTCCCTTACTGGACAAACTGTGTTTAGATGACGGGATGTCTTTCAGCTTGGAGCTCTGTTATATGTAAATATTTCAAATGGTTGGATTTTATGAAGCGGCCAATACTGAATCTTTGTCAAAGATGTTAATATTAGGGTACATTTAACAATTAATGATCTTTTCTTACAGATCAGTTGTATTTTGAATTAATAATCTCCATCAATCAACCAGTTAGGGAACCATATTGCCAGGATTAGTCACTGTAATGGGCTAATCAAACTTGGGTTATGAACAAAATAGAAATCAAAGGAACTAATTAAGGGCTTAATTGCTGTACTTGACCCTTTAAAGAGTTTATTTCTACCAAGAGGTTTTGATAGTCATTGTTTGATCTATTTTCAACTTTTGGTTAAATGGAGCTTATAGGTTAGAGTGATCCACAGTGCTTCATGTGTGAACAGGTGACAGGCCCATCTATTAGACTTCGCTACTTTATTCTCTCAGCATCAAAGTCATGAGAAAAGCCCCATCAGGTTAACATTAGTCCTACATGTAAAGACTTAAATGAAGAGTTCATCTTTGATATTCGTTTGATATCTGCTCTCTACTAGTTGCTTTGATGCTGCACTTCCCACTGAAAATCTGATACAACACTGACCCTCAATAAAAAGTGAAGATTGACAAATGTTGATATTGTTGGTCACTTACAATTTCCCACATGTAAACTGAGATGACTGTCATGTTGATTACAGTGTGAAGACTAAGATTCTCTTGTTGTGAGTATATTCTGGGTAAAAGCCTATTAACAAATGTCACTTTGCTGAGTGGTTTTGAATGTGATTTGCTAAATTTTGCAAATTTTGCATGTGTGCGACATCAGCATGAAGTCAGTTTGCCAGTTTATCTTTGCAGTAAATGCAGTGCTGGAAGGTAAGTACAGCTTTTAGGTAGCGTACATCAAAGGGGTATTGTAGTTCTTTTGTTGTATTCCCATTTCATGTTACTTTATACCTTTACCACATTTCAGAAGGTAATACTGTTCTATTTACTCATTACATCTACAGCCATGACACTAGTTATTCTTGTGATTAAGATTTTACATAGCAAACATGTGATCAGTTTGTAAAATATTGTGCGTATTTATAGATTAAACCACCCAACAGTGGTCAATAAAAATTTGTTTCATGTCCAACATGGTTCTTCTCAAAGTTTCTCCCATCTCCTGACAGGATCTCTGAAGCTCAGCCGTAGTGGTAAATGGACTACACTTAAAGTACCAGTCAAAAGTTTGGACACACTTTGTCCAAGTCAGTTTGCCACTTTGTCCAAACTTTTGACTGGTACTGTATATAGCGCTTTTCTAGTCTTATCAAGCACTCAAAGCTCTTCCCAATACTTGCCATATTCACCCATTCACACACACACTCAAACATCACGCCCATACACTCATGGAACGGCCATCAGGGGCACTTTGGGGTTCAGTACCTTGCCCAAGGATCCTTGGTCATGGAGGAGCCGAGGAACCACTGACATTCTGATAAGTGGACGACCTGCTCTACCTCCTGAGCCACAGACGCCCCCGACTGACCATTGGGACTCTCGTACCTAGGCCCCTCTTCCCCGATTGCTCAGTTTGGCTGTGTGGCCAGCTCTAGGATGATTCATTTTTGTTCCAAACTTCTTCCATCAAAGAATTATCCTTTTTTTAAATTCTTTTTTAATCGCTATGCTGATTTTTGAATCAATATTCATTTTATTATTTACACTGAGCTAGTGTAATAACAGCTAGTGCAAGAACGAGAGAGCTGTTTGTTTGAACAGTGGCCAGAGGTTGTCAATTTCCCGCACATTGAATAATGTGAATTAATGACCAGTAACAGTTTGACTTTCTGCTAACTGCAAACAGCTAACTGTCATTGTCCAACCATGTGTTGGCTGAAAGCTTCAAGTTCACAACAACTTCGTCAACACTGCTTGCCCAAGATGAGCATGATCCTTCAGAATAAAAGCATCAGTGGCTTTTATTAACAGTACTTTCTTTAACTTTATTACTTCATTACTTTATTTAACTGTATTTACCTTAACTATAAACATACTTTAACTTTATGAAAGTATTTTATTTAACTTTATTGTAACAGTAGTTTATTCAACTCAATTACAACAGCACTTCATTTAGCTAACAGTTTTTGACAGAGTTACAAGAGTAACAGAGTTTTTGTTAGCATGGCTTAAAGACAGCCAATGAGTTTATAGCAATGATTCAGCCGAAATAAAATTCAGAAAGACTGATATGTTATGTGCCATGTCTTTGGAAATGATGCATGATGCATAGTCTCTAGAAGTGAATGATTCAAGTTTTTCCCATGGTCTACCTATAAAAAAGTAAACGAAAATCGTAGTAAATTGAATTATATCAATACTTAACAATCACAAGATGTATCAACTTGGCACCCAAGTATTGTGACAGTGCCAAAGCAGCATAAGCATGTTGTCCCAGCCCTAGAAACCAGGCTAGGTTTGGGTCCACCCAAGAAAAATTGGGAAAAGGGGCCTCCAATAAAGGGCACCACTGCTGCCCCAGAAAGCCCCTATGCAGCCCCTTATGATGCGTGTGTCTTCCCAAGAGAGATGTTGCCAACTCTCTTAGTTACATATTTGTTGCATGTATACATGTATGTTGCTCCTGTTTGATGTTTGTTATAAATCCTGTTCATGTAAAGTGGATGAAGTGAGTTCACACAGGTTTATCTTTCACTTCATTCCTCCCTCAGTGAGACATCAAATCCTTTCCACCCTGCGCGGGACTTTGCTCTCAGCATCAGCATCAGCAGAGAGGCCACACATCTCGCGATGAAAGCAGGGAAACGCGAGTTTTGTGCTGCCTGCAAAGTTACAAGCATAGCAGCACAGCGGCAGCAGCAGCAACGGCAGCGATGGCCGCTTTCCGCAGAGTGGCAGCGCTGGCTGGGAAGGTAAACCTGTGGTCGACGGCGAGAAACGAGCTCGTCGTTAGTCAGACCAGTGGAGGAAGGGCGCGGAGGTGTCTGGCAGTCGGGATGTGTCTCGCAACGGGAGGCGCCGTGGCACTTTACTTCTACAGCGACATGACGAGCGGCAGAGGAAGGAAGAGGATGGAGAGACACAGCATCAACGATTTACTACCATCCATCCCCACCGTGGAAGCCAAGGAAAAGGTAGGAGGCTGACTGATACTGGGGCTGAGACTGCTAACGAGAACACAAAAGCTACAGGGCTTTAGTGACACGTAGCGACTCGTTAGGTCGTTGTCAGGAAAAGGAAAAGGAAAAGTGTTGTGTTGACATGGGGGCCTCGGTGTAGAGGTGACAACAAGAGACCACCGAGAGAAAAGGCAGAGAGCGCTGGGTATTTTCACATTTTCTTCCACTAAAATTAGACTCACGGGCCCAGTCAGACGGGGCTTCTTCTGTTTTGTGGCCATGGTGTGGTTGGCAGTTTATATGTTTTCCTCTCGGGCGGATAGACTGTGTCATTCATTCCCAGCACGCCCAGTGGAAACAGTTTGCTCACTGTTTGGCTGCAGGACGATGTGCGCGCGCAGATGAAGGAATGGCGCTCTCCGCTCGAGCTGGTGCTGAAATGACAATGAGTCGAGGATGTTACTGTCCGTCAGGTAGCTGTGTACAGCTGTTTACAGCTGTGCATCGCTTTGTGAAGGGACTGCTCAAAACTGAGCACAGTAAATGCCAGTGGTGGAAAAGGTACTCAGATCTTTTACTTACATCAGTGAAAGTTACAATACCAAGGTGTAGAAATACTCAGTAAAAGTCATGGAGTCAACATTTTACACAAGTAAAAGTATTAGCAGCAAAATATACTTGAAGCACCAAAAGTAGTAGTGTGCAAGTTTAAGCCACTAGAAGTAAACTGAGGATACCTTCAAAAATTATGTCACAAGTAGTTTTATTCATCAATTAATTTAATGCAAAGTGTAGTAAACAGTAAAAACCTGAATTAAATCAATATTTCGTGTGACCATGCTGTGTCTTTAACACAGCATTAATTCTCCTTACACCTTCACACCTTTTTCAAGGTATTCAGCAGGTAGTTTGTTCCAAGCATCTTGGAGAAGTTGTCACAGTTCCTCTGTGGATTTAGACCGTCTCAGTGACTTCTGTCTCTTCAAATAATCCCAGTCTGACACCATGATGTTGAGATAAGGAAGCCATACTATCTGTTGTAGGACTCCTTGTTATGCTTCCAGACCGTCAACAGCCAGGGCCGGAGACATTATGTTTTCGGGTTGTCCATCTGTATGTAGGCTAGTACGTCCGTCCATCCCATTCTTATGAATGTGATATCTCAGAAACGCCTACAGGGAATTTCTTCCTATTTGACACAAACATGTACTGTAACTGGATTCAAGAATGAGAGAACTGTTTAGATTTTAGTCGTCAAAGTTCAAAGGTCAAGGTCACGGTGAACTCATAAAACACGGTTTTGGCCTTGTGGCCGCAATATATCAGGAACCTCTCAAAGAAATCCCTTCAAATTTGGCACAAATTTTCATTTTGACTCAAGAATGAACTGTTTTGATTTTGGTCATCAAAGGTCAAAGGTCAAGGTCACTGACCTTACAAAGCATGCTTTTGGCCTCTTGAATGTTATATCTCCAGTTTGCGTCCAGGGAAATTTTCTTTATATTTGGCACAAATATTCACTTGGATTCAAGGATAAACTGATTAGAATTTGGTGGTCAAAGGTCAAGGTCACTGTGACCTCACAAAACACATTTATGACCATAACTCACAAATTCATACGCTTTAGGGTTGTTGTCATCCTGCAGAATGAATTTGGGACAGATCAAACGCCTTCCTGATGGTACTGTGTGACGGATAAGAAACATCGAAATTGTCAAAAGTGTTTGCACATTTATAGGCATCACTTTAAAAAGTATAATATTTGACTCTGAAATGTGCTGTAGTAGAATCTAAAGTAGAATAATATGGAATTACTTGAGTAAAATACAAGTACCTCAAAATTGTACTTACAGTACAGTAATGGACTAGATGTACTTAGTTGGTTGATGCATTCTAGGATATTTCAGACAACAACATTTTAATCCCAAGAGTAAAACTTTAAATGAGGTAGAGTAATTTCTGGGTAGTCACTTTATCCTACAAGGCTTAATTATTGAATAGCTTAGTTAGTAGTTCCTGCAATTTCTAAAAAAGCAATAATGTTAAATTACTTGAGAACAGACTGCTATGTACTTTTTTAATGACTTCACTGGTGGAGGAAGTACTTGGATGTATTTTGCTATTTTCAGCAAAATATACAGCAAGTATCTTGTATAGAACTCGAATTAATGTACTTAATTCCTAGTGGATATGAAAAGTTGACTATCATTGTGGTCGTCATATCAGAATGCATGGAAATAAAGGCATGAAAGTGCAGTTCTTTGCAAAAGGCACATTTATCCAAAGCAACAAAACTAAAGATTCATAATGGGACTCAAACCCACAACCTTTGAATTAATTCACTAATGCCTAGAAGTCCAATGCGCTATCCATTGCGCCACAGAGCCACCACATAGTATATCAGGGTTGTATGATAACTTTATGACCACTTGTGTGGTTGTGCAATAGAGCATCACTCACCTGAACTGACAAGCATAGCTACTAAGATTTACCTGAAACCAGGAGCCTATGAATGACATAATGTTTATTTTCTCCAAAACTCAAAGGAGTTGCACAATAAGTCAAAACACAAGTCAAATTAGTTGCACATGTCCATCTTTAAGAAATAAGTATAAATTAAGTTAAACTAATATGTACATAGGATGAGAAGTAAAGAGTAAGATAAACTCCTCTTACCAGAACTACCGCCCCATGTGAAGGTGAGAGAGTGAGTATGAGGGGTGCAGTCTGTAAATAAGGAGGGATCAGAAGAACTGAAGGAGGTGGAAAAATGGAAAGAAAATATGGATCTTTACTGCAGTCTGGAGTGTGTGGCATGTTCAGAAATTGAATGGTGGGTTTAAGAAGGTACAGTTTCAGCCTACAGCTGTTTGGTCAGTGATAGATTTTTTTTTAACATTAATTCAATATTTAGTCCTGAAAACAGGGACAACACTAAAGCTTTACAATGTGACTGTGGTGGGACTCGATCCCACAACCTTTGAATTACATTTTCTATGTCTAGAAGTCCAATGCACTATCCTTTGCGCCACAGAGCCACAGGATAGTTGTTAGTGACTAAGGATATATCATTACTTTATGTTATGATATATCCTGATATAATGTATGATATATTAACCCTTATTTATGTTGCAAGTTAAGGTGTATGTCAAGTATGCTTGTATAATTTTTTCATTTGTACAGTAGTTAATTTGATAGATAGGTGCAATATACCATGAATGAATTCTAAGTTTATTTGCTGCAGAAGCATATATGTATATGCATACATGCTCTTTTCTTTACATTTTTCCTGCTGCTATTCATTTTGTCAGCATGACTCAATAAAGAATTCTTCACAAAAAGGATATATCATAACTTTATGATTGCCTAACCACCTTTTGGTGGTTGTACAGTAGAGCATCATTGCACTGAACTGCCAGACACAGCTACTAAGATGTACCTGAAACCAGTAGCTTATGAATGACACAAGCCAACAGCAAACTCAAAAAAGATTTCAGTCGTCATATTCAGAGCACATTTACATTAATATTTGCATCCATATGTCATGAAGACTGCTAACTTCACATTAGTCATTAGGCAAATAACTAGTGAAACAATAGCTATACATATGATATGTTTCATGATTAGTAAGATTAGGGTACTGGGTATCTGTTGATACCAAGTGCTGGTATTTATAGGAACCTTATGAACACACTTAAATTGTTCCTAAACAAAATTCCTGTGCCAAAGATGCTCAATAAAAAGAAACATATACATAGATGCAGGAGATGTGCATTATTATCTTTTTAAGCCAATTTTTCTTTTCGCATTTTGGCCTTCATTGAATAGTGTTGTTGATAGTTAATAAGCAGACAGGTAACGGGGGAGAGAGAGAGAGGGGTATGACATGCAACAAAGGTCAGCTAGACTCGAACTAGATATGTAGCTGTTATATGCATATACTGTAATATGGCTCTGCTCCAGAAGACATGCAATGTTCATACAGCTCCTTCTGGAGCCATAAAAGGCTTTACACAACTTTTTTCATATATGCAGTAGTCATCTCCAACTTTTGTAAATAGACTTTGATGGGTAAAACTGTTGAAGTTACTCTTTAAGAGGGCAGAGTGACTATGGTTCAGCATCGGGCTGAACAGCTACTTCCTCTTTGAAACTGTATCATGTCTTGCAATTAAGAAAAGGAGCTGACAAACAGCCTTGGCAGTCTCTGACATCTCCGATTCAAGAGCTGGTTGATTTCTGCAGGGGCTGGCTAGGCGTTACTGTAATTTACCTGAACTGAAATAACTAAATTTGATGTCAGAAGGGAACACAGGAGGGTTAGAATTAGGACAGTATAGCTGTGAGGAAACCCAGGAGATGGACTAAAGAGCTGCAGCTGTGAACAGAGAATACCGGGTTGCCTGAGGGGAAAACACCTGGAGCATCTGCTGTGCAGCCAGGAGAACAAGACTAGGCAGCAGAAACAGGTTGAGTTGTGGCTACATGACATTAAAGCTGCAAAAGAACACGGTGTACTGCAGTGTGAGTAATTTCAAATAACTGGCTTTTTTTTCCGAGGAGCTTACATTACTTTTTACATCATGTTGTGCATCATGGGATGTGAACCCAGCTGCCTTTGCAGAACTTTGTAAACTTCATTCATTAGTGAGAGTCAGAGCCATGGGTGTCTGTGCTCTTAGACTTGATTACAGTGCATTCCTATGAAGCCTCACACTCATCTCCTATTCATGCCTTCAAAAGGCCCCTTGGTGAAAGCAGCATCAAAGCTTTATGAATGAATCTGTGTGCTCATTAGCATGTTAGCTGAGCTGAGAAGGAACCTCGGTGCGCTGGGCCCTGCGGCCAAACAGGTTTAAATTTGGAAACCTCTCTGCTAATTACACAGCTTCCTGCAGCACAATCTGTTGGCGTAGCAGCTCTCCTACACTGCAGCTAATCAAGTTGAAGCTCTGGCTCCTCACAGAGAGAGAGTGAGATGCTAATCAAGCAGAAAGTAGTGACAAAGTATTTGTGTGTGTGTGTGTATGTGTGTGTGTGTGTGTGTGTGTGTGTGTGTGTGTGTGTGTGTGTGTGTGTGTGTGTGTGTGTGTGTGTGTGTGTGTGTTTGTGTGTGTGTTCCCCTGTTTTAATGTTATTGCATTGCGCCAGAGGTGCTGACTCTATTTATAATCTCAGAGAGCTAAATGGAGAGAGATGATGCCAAGAATAGATGGACCTCCTCATTATGGAGGTTCAAAAGCACCGAAGAGGCGCATACAGTTCAAAATCTGTCTGCATGAGTGGCACAGAGTTCTCCCTTCACAGAGAGCTATCACAGCTGAAGAAGTTGCACTTTTCAAATCACTAAATGTGATATTCTGTATGTCAATAGTGTAATAATGTTGCAATAACCAGAACATGACTGCTCTTGCTCTTGGCCTTACTGATGTCTGCAGGCACGTCCGTTTGACTTTGAAGACGGAGACGTGTACATGTCGTCCCACGAGCATCGCTTCCGCATGTTCAGCTCTGTTGAGTATGAAGGCCAGCTGTACATGACTCCGCAGAACTTCATCGAGTCGGTCACCATGAGTGAACCAAGAAGTATGTATCACACACTCACAAATCATCCTTTACTTTTGTGTCGAAAACACTCGTCGTGAAACAGAGAAACAGAATATACTAAAGTTAATGGTCTTTGTATTCACATTGAGACCTAGTGCATTCAAATACATTAAAGTTGCTGTGTAGGGAACATGCTGTCATACCCCAAAATAATTTGAACTTCAGTTAGAAAATGTATAAAAATTGTTAAGAAATTACATTCTCCATTTGCATCAATTCTTACGCTTCAATTTGACACAGACATACTGTTATATTTATTACATCAGCCCCATGTTTATCCTGCATTAACATGTGGCTCATATCTGGACTGTATCTAGATTTTAATTCTGGCATTATGCATTAAATTTCTCTTTCCCTGCCAGTAACAACATGGATGTGAGTGGCAGGTGCGAAACAGACCCTTTTTTTTTTTTTACCGAAACAAAGTTTTTAAAACCCTTTAAAATCCTGGGTTTAAACAGGTCTTTGCTGTTTCTGTCAGCCTGCTGCCAGTCGTAACAGATTAGTCCTCGCCAGCCAGCCTCAAAGCAGATGGTTTTACAGCTATTGTTTAGTCTGAGGTTAATGTTAGTCACACACACACACACGCGCGCACGCACACACACATGCACAAACTGTTTTAAAAATGTCCTCGCAGGTTGAGGTTATCACAAACACCCGTCCAAAAAAGCCACCATTCCTTTCTTCAGCAGCCATGTGATTGTATTGCGTGCAAACTGTGCACCTGTATGTGTGTGTTTACATCTACTGTGGCTCACTGACACACGATACAGCCGCACATACCCACTCAGCAGCCGACATCCTCTAATGCCCCCTTTGAAGTTGAATTAGATGAACTTTGTTGTATAAAACAGAGCAAAAGTAGTATGTGCTTTTACGGGGACATTCCACAAACTACAAAGACAAGCATGGGGCACTTTAGACTGTACAAATGGGCCTGTGATGATGACAGTGTATATATAGTGAGTGTGTCTGTGTGTGTTGGTGTGTGTGTGTTGTGACTGTACCGGGCACATTAAGACCCATTTCTAGATCATACAGATGCTATCTGACCAAGCCCACCCAAACTCTCTTCTCCTCTTTCCCTTCTTCTTCTCTCTTCTTTTGTCTCATTCCCTGGCAGACAAGAGGCCCTGGAGGTCCCTGACCAAACAGGTGGGAGACACACTCTTAATGCTTCTTTCTTCTGCTTCTCCATGTTGCAGGCATCTGTTGCATGTTACATCTGTTGCAGGCTGTGTACACACTGTATACACTTTGAGTCAAAGTTGTGGCATTAGACTACGCAGAGCAGTCCACGTGTTTTAAAGACTGGCTTCAGAAGGCCAGACCCTTTTACGTTCTCACACTTTATTGTGTTGTAATTTCAATATGATATTAATTAAGATTAGTTTTTGGCAATTAATTCTAAATGTGTATTAAAAAAGCAGCAAAATATATATTTTATGTGCAGCCTCTGATCCATTCATTCATCACAAATCAGGTGATTTCCTTCAACAAAACTGTACCTTTGTTGTGGTCAGTTATATTGACCATAGTTTTATTTGCTTTTGGTAAATTAAGGTGGAAATAACAAGTGTAAACCTTAAAGGTACCCTGGGGAGTATTCTTGTAAACATTTTCGGAAATTCTGTTCAGTGTTTGCACCAAAGGTATTGTGGGTATCCTTTAGGTGCAACAAACAAGTTGAATGCATGTCCTTCCTCAGAAAACATTTGCAAAGCCAATTGATTTTTAATATTTAAAAACCTGCATTTTTTTTTTACATTCATGTTTGACATGGATGCATAATAAGATCTGTATACCAGACTCCAAAATTGTGCCCATTGAATTGATTTAAAAATTGCTCATCAAGCACCTAAGCACAAAAAAGTTTTCTATCTAGTTTTTGGGTTTTCTTCTGGGCTGTGCGGTTGTGCACATGCACATTAGTGTTTCACTCCCTTGTGTTCTTGATCAACCGATAGACTTTACATTAAGATCATGTCACACTTTAAAAATTTTACAAATATAATAAATATATGTAGTAGTACATCAGATGCGTTCAATGAATGTGAAATGGCTGTTCTTTGAATCTTTTTGTCCTTTATCTGTCTCATTTATATCATTTCTTTTCTCTTAAAAGCACAGTCATATGTAACTTGATAAACTATGTTTTCAATACACTTCTTGTTTTGACATAAAACCTTTTTTCAGTTAATTGCACAAAACTAATATTTTTCTTAGAGTAAATGACACATCAATAGTTTGTAGTGTGTCCTTCCCTTCTGTTCGTGTCAGCATAAAAAGTTGAACTTTAAGGTGAAGGTTTGTGTTTAACAGTGTATCTACTTTTGAATCTGTGTAATTGTGTGTGTGTGCGTGTGTGTGTGCGTGTGTGTGTGTGTGTGTGTGTGTGTGTGTGTGTGTCAGGAACTGGAGAAGATCCTGTCAGAAACTCCCCCAGTATGGAGAGGATCCTCGAAACTGTTCCGCAACCTGAGAGAACGAGGTCAGAGAAAGTGCGCACACACACACACACACACACACACAAAAGAAAAACAGCAGCAAAGGCACCTTGAGCACCTTTGCACTTACTTATACAAATGCACACACACACTCAGACTCCTGAACACTTTTAATTGTTAGCCAAGTAAATAAGCAGCAGTCAGATAATAACAAGGTCAGTGAATGTCAGTGGAATAGGTTTTCACCATCATAGTTTTATTTGCTTTATAAACATATTAAATATACTAATTCACTTAACACATAATACAATTTATGCACTTTTTTAATGTCCTGTTAATATGAGGAGCAGCTTTTCAGTACATTTGCTTATGTGTATGTGTACCAGTGCTTACCTGCTGATGTGTGACTAAATAGTGTTTGTGAGCTTGTGTGTGTGTGTGTGTGTGTGTGTGTGTGTGTGTGTGTGTGTGTCACTGTAGGTGGCTCTAATCCGGGGTTGGAAGCATGCTGTCCCTACTTACAGCCAAGCAACCTGCTGAAAAAACTAAAAATAAACCTCTCCTCTCCTCTCCTCTCCCCCCATCCCATCCCCTCCCCTTCCCTCCCCTCCCCTCCTCTCTCCTCCTCTCCTCTCCTCTCCTCTCCTCTCCTGCATATGGGAACAGAATAATTTATACAGCACCACAGAGACAGAGAGAGAGAGATAGAGAGAGAGAAGCTCCCCCTAATTAAAACATTTGTTTCAGGAGTGTGTAACACAGGAATCAAACAGTCTGGGAGTGAGTCCCCGTAGTGATAATTACACACACACAGACACACACTGGGATATGCTAAATATAACGCACCCTGTGTGATGCATCCCCTCTCCCTCTCCTCTATCATGATAATGTTTTACACCTTGTAACAAGTGTGTGTGAGTGTCTGTTATGTTTACGCTTCAGGGACCAGTATACAGGAGAATTACCTTCATCCTCTTGTTAAATCAGTGAGGTAGACTGAGAAAAAGAAGAGACAAAGACAGAGAGAAAATAAAAAAGAGATGGAAGGAAGGAGAAAAGGGAGTAGAGAAAGAGATGAGATAGAATATAATAGAACAAGATGTGATGAGAGAGGGAATGAAATGGGAGAAAGTGCAAAGAGGAGTGGAGAAATGTAGAGAAACTGAAGATGTGTAAAGGAATGGATACGTACAGGAAAACAAAGTAGAAGGAGAAATGAAACAAGGGAAAAGAGAAAGTTTGTAAACCTACCTAAGTTTTCATGGTAAGAGGGACCTATTGTAGTTATTACAGTGCATGTCTATTCAAACTGCTAAGACCACACACACACACACACACACACACGCACACACACACAAACACACACACACAAACACACACACACACACACACACACACACACACACTGATAGCATTCAGCAATACCTCTCTATGTATACACATTTTTTTTATTACATCTGAACCTCTCATTCATTCATTTACACATTTAAGCAGTTCGGCTTTATTATAATCTCATCCTTGAGAGTTGTGTGAATAAGCTGTGTGTGTGTGTGTGTGTGTGTGTGTGTGTGTGTGTGTGTGTGTGTGTGTGTGTGTGTGTGTGTGTGTGGGTGTGTGTGTGTGCTGATGTCCGAACACGCCATGATGAGCGAGGACAGTTAAAATCCTTGGAATGGCTTTGGATTTCTGAGAATGACAGACGTGTGTGTCAGACAGAGGAATGCATAGTGTTGCCTGCCTGAACATTGTTGACTGTGTGTGTGTGTGTGTGTGTGTGTGTGTGTGTGTGTGTGTGTGTGTGTGTGTGTGTGTGTGTGTGTGTGTATGTGTTGTGGGCTGCACAGTATGTCAGCATTGGTTGTCCATTGGTTAGACAGTAACTGGGCACAGTAATGGTAGTACTTTGCTTTAGAAACATTGGATGTATTCAGCACTGTGATGAGTTTATGATGAGGTGATTATTACTGTGGTACACTGTAACATGCTGGGCAGACATTTACAGTAATAGTAAATGTAAATGTATCTTTTTAGATTTGTTCATGTGCCTGTCATTGCTTTATTACATCACTGTTAAGTAATTGCAGCTTTAATAAAGCTCATGTCTTCTTAAAGAGATTTACCTAAGTTTGGAACAGTTACTGATATAGTCCCTGTAAAGTCTATCGTATGTGATATTGGCTTAAACAAATGAACCTGACTTTGATATTTTGGTATTCTATCACCTCATCAAGTTCTCATGGCTCTCATGCTCTCATGTTAGCAAAGTGCAAGTCCAAAATTTAATTGCATTTTAGTTCTTTATTTCCCACCAACTCAAGTTTTTTCCCTCTTGACCATTATCTCTCTTTAGCAGCTATCATTTTTTATTTTGTCTTTTTACTTTGTCTCTGTGACATTTCATGTTGGGCAGGTAGTTCACTGTTTCAGTAAGTTGTGGGACTTTTCTAGCTAGAAATGTGGAGTGCTGGTGAAAGCTGCTGTGTGAAATCAGCCGAGAGCTGCAGGAGACTGATGTTGATTCTCAGTGGGATCCGATTTACCAGCAACACTTAATAATTACAAGGAGTGATATGATTTGCAGTTGATGTCAATCAAGTTGCGATCAGCTTGATTTCAGTACTGAGGTCACGTCTGGTCATAAATCATGCTTGACAGTGATGTCTTCTCAAAAACATGTTTAACTCTTCATGTAACTAGGGATATGATATAGTGGAGATTAAATACCTTTTCATAACAGTGATTAGCACAGAAAATGTTAAAATGTAAAAACTCAGACACTATGAATAAGTAGCACAAGTATATAAATATTTAGATATAAAGAAAAACATAGATTATGGTATCAAATTCAGGTAAATTAGCAGAGCGTGTTTTCAGTACAACCAAAATCATAAATCAACAGTCTAGCAGTATTATTTTCCTTCACACTGACTATTGTTTCCCTCGTGAGATGAAAGTTAACCAACCTTTTTTATTTAGTAGTATATCACTGACAGTGTGAGAGTGTAAACATGCAGAATGTGTTGTAGAAACCTGAGGAGTTTCAGAGTGTATCTCCTGGTCTTTGCACAGCTCAGGCTACATGGAGAAAAGAGAATTCAGTTCCAAACCAGCTCCTCTACACAAAGCAGTCAAGCATCAGGAAAGCACAAGGCTCACACTGCTTCTACCTAGTGTCATGTTCACCTACACACACACACACACACACACACACACACACACACACACACACATACGCATAAACACACACATGGGAAAGCAGTCTCCCGTAACACTCAAGCGAGTCACCCTGAACTATCTGAGCGATCAGACAGAAAGCAAAAAAGAGGGAGAGAGAGAGATGAGATGGTGCTATAGAGATTCCTAAATGGGCCTGAGGCAAGAAAGGATCACCTCCTAAAACATTTTTCACTTGCTTATCCAAACACAGACACATACACACGCACACACCCCTACCAGCCAGTGTCTTTACTCTGGACACTTGGGGTGTAGAAAAAGAAACGGTGTGTGGCCAAATGGCTGTTGGCAGCTCAGCTCCGAGAAGACACATTTAAAGATGCTATCTTCATGAAAGGAAGGATTATGTGTGTTAGAGAGAGAGTGTGTGTGTGTGTGTGTGTGTGTGTGTGTGTGTGTGTGTGTGTGTGTGTGTGTGTGTGTGGAGGCCCATGGTCTTTGAACATCTGTAAACATTGTGTGTGTGTGTTGAATGTGACCTTTTCTTTAACTCTCTCTGTCTTGGTCTCATTACCAGGCATCATCTCATACACAGAGTACCTGTTCCTGCTCTGCATCCTGACAAGTGAGTCGCTTCGGTCTCTGTACATATCCTCCTTTCACTGAACCTCATCTTCCATTTTCCCCCAGCAGTATGCTATTCTTATTTTGAGAGAACAAAGTCACACCACCCAGAACCTAACAGGACACAA